ACCTCCGAAGTGCCCATGCCCTGGCCACTCTAGAGTTGCCTGCTCGCCCTGTTCCCAGTGTGGGTTTTGGGGCTCCAGCCCTTCGTGTTGGGGAGCGGAGGGAGCCACTGTTACAGGAGGTGCTGGGAGAATCCCAGGACCCCTGGGACAGGGAGAGAGATGGTTTTAATTAGAGCTGAGAGATGGAAAATAAGGCAGGGAGGGATGACATCTTAATGAGGTTTAATGAAGCTGTCTGCTGCTGGGGACAGCTGTCACCCAGAGCTGTATCCAGCCAAGCCACTTTGTGATGGAGGAAACTCAGGAAAAGGCACAGTTTGAGGGCAGCTAAGGAGAGAACGGCAGCCGCACTTGGAGCTGGGGTTTTCTCCCACGCTCACCTCTTGATTGTCACACCTCAGGACAGGGGATTCCAGCTCACACACCACATTTCAGCGGCTTCGATTATTCGCGATTTCCTGTTGTGCCTCCTAAGAGACCTCAAGGAAGGATTTTGAGGGCCAAGGGGGCTTCATTCATTTCCCCCTTTTCTGAGCCTCAATTTCCCTTCTGTCTAATGGAAGCGATGTCACCTCCCATAGAGAGTCAGGAGGGGTGATTGGCCACCGTGGGTTACGCACAAAAGAGTGGCATCTCAGGGAGGGGAGGTAAACCCCAGCTCATCTGTTTGCTACCTGGATGGCTTTGGGCAAATCCAACCTCTTTAAGCTTTTGCCTACCACACAGAGAGAGGTTGGTTGAGTTGGGGAGAAGCACAAAAAGCCCTCAGCCCATGCTCAGGACACAGTAAGTGCTCAGTAAAAGGCACTGCTACAGGAAGCCACCGGGCATGGCGTGAGCCTTGCGTGTAGGAGGCACTCAGTAGCGTTTACTATCTTCCTTCACTTCTGTAGGAAAGAGCACACGGAGGTCTTAAGGGATCCCTACGCAGGGAAGATGTTCTCAAATTCCACATGACCGAACAGCTTGCCCATGCCATCTGCCCCAGGGCCTTTGCACAGTCCAGCCTGAGAGCTAGCTGGGAGACCCCTTTTGCCTTTGCAATGGCCATCTCTCTTCTCATCCTGGGTGGGTGGGACAGGTTGCTTGGGGACCTGGGTGGAGAGTGTGATCAAAGCTGAGGTCTAGTCTATGAATAAGCTACATTGGGTCTGAGGATGTCAGAGTGAGGTTGCCATGGGAAAGCAGGTGACCATCAGGCATCAAGTTCCCTTGCTTGGGTGGTAGCTGGTCACAACCTGCTGGCCCTTGTGTAGATGTTCAGGGTCAGTCCCTCTGAGTTCCTGTGTATCAGGCTAGCTGGCCTAACCTGGTCTCGGAGGCACCCAGAGACCTGCAGTCCCTTCTTTCAGGCTACTTTTCTCTGTAGGCTTCTAGAAGCCACATTGCACAGGCTGGGGCAGGAGGCCCAGTGCTGGTGCTGGGCCTCCAGTCTCTGGAGGACCTCTGCCTCCAGGCAGTAGCAGTGCACAACCTGGGCTCTCCTGCCCACCATGTTGCCATGTTGGCTCTCCCCAAAACACCAGCCCAAGATGTGTGTCTTTCTTCTCCCAACAACTGTCCTCACACACAGCCAAGATATATCTGTCCTGGGTCCAGGTGGCTTCAGTTCTGAGTGGGTCCTGAAGTGGCCGCCCTTCCCACACTTCCCAGTCCACTCATCAGGTGACAGCTTACACCTGGAGCTGATGGGTGGTCCATGCTGTGTGCTGTGTGTGGAGCAGACAGTAGAAAGAAGTCACAGACTCTGCTGTTTGTAGAAGCAAACCCCAACTGTAGAGGGGGTCCATGTCCAGAAAGGGACAGCAGATCACTGCAGACAGTTTGTGCTGAATACTAAATCAGTGAGAAAGAGGCAGCAAGGGCCAGTTGGGGCAGACCTGGGTTCAGATCCTGTCTTGGGCACTCGTTAGCTATTTCTTTTTTTAGTACCAGGGTTTGCACTCATGGCCTCATGCTTGCTAGGAAGGCACCCTTCCACTGGAGCCACCTCCCCAGCTCTTTTTGCTTTAGTATCTTTAAATAGAGTCTGGAATTTGTGCCCTGGCCGGCCTGGACCTCGGTCCTTTTATTTATATTTCCTGCATAGCTGAGATGACAGGCATGTGCCACCATGCTCAGCTTTTATTGGTTGAGATGGAGTCTCAAGAACTTTTGCCTAGGCTGACCTCAAACCACGATCCTCCTACTCTCCACCTCTCAGGTAGCTAGGATTACAGGCATGAGCCATTGTGCCTGGCCTACTCATTAGGTTTGAGCAAAGAAAGCCCTACATCTCTCTGGGCCTCTGTGTGTGGATGGCAGGATCACCCCTTTGCAGGGTTGTTGAGGCATTGGCGCAGGGAAGCGGCGACTGCAGGTGCTGTGGTCGGTAGTGTGGCCGCTGGGGGCATGTGGGAGTCAGGGCTTTTCGTTAAGCTCTCGCTGGGCACAGGCAAGCTTGTCCTCTAGGGCACTTACCTGCGAACCAAGGAGCTCTGGGGGACCAAAGGCCTGAGCCGCCCACAGTTTAGTATTTGGGGATGGCAGATGTGGGCAGAACCTCCGTGCGAGGCCCGGAGGTGTTCTCAGCTGCGCCAGGGCAGGCCAGGGACCCCAGCGATCCCTGCCAGCGCCAGCTCGGACACTGATGTGACCTGCCTGGGAGGGCAGAAGGCCGAGGAGTCCAGGGTGCATCTGTGAGCAGCAGATGTGCTTCTCAGCCAGGTTCTTGGGAGGTTCTTCTCGTTCCACAGGCAACAGAGGTCTGGAAGAGTCCGAGGAAAGGCAGAGCCGATGCTGCCTTCTCGGGTTGTGACTCCCCAGATGCTTCGATTAACGAAAAGCTGCTGTCGTCTTGCTGGTTCCTCTTGAGCCAGCCAGGCTACGGTTCTCACGTGAAGCTGATTTCCTGTGTGGATCCAGAGCCCTCAGCTATCGACATGGAAGGAGGGAGGGGCCAGGCGGCTGAGGTCACAGAGGAGGGGACACTGGAGGAGGGCAACAGCAGGACGGCTGAGTGGGAAGAACACCACGTCAGGCCGAGGAACATCATGACCAGTGCCTCGGACGCCCTCATGCAGCCTTCAGCCTCTTCCCTACCCAGGAGGCCCCACGCTCTGTCCTCTGATCTCCAGCTGGGTCGTGCCACTGACGTGTGGGGCCAGACCCCTGAATTCGTCACGACCTTCTTATCCTCCTGCGATGGCCGTCGGGGCTGTCTCCAGTCCTTGGTTATCATGAGCTGAGCCGCTGTGCTCATTCTTAGACACGTTTTTGGGTGAACAGCACCTCCCTTTCTCTTGGGTGTCCAGGAGGGAGCGGCTGGTCATGGGGGTAAGCAGGAGTTCTCACCAGTTTCCCGTGGGGGTTGTACCTCTCTACATGCCCACCAAGGTCACGTCTTCTGGTTGTTCCAAGTCCTGGCTAGTAGCATTGGGCTTCAGCCTTGCATTTCCCAGAGGCTGAGCACCTTGACATATGGGTCCTAGCCACTTGCACAGCCTTTTAATGAAGTTCCTATTCAAGCCTTTTGCTCACTTTTCTATAGAAGTGTCTTCCCTTTTCTTATTGATCTGTAGCTGCTCTTTATATATGATGAAGACAAATCTTTTGTCAGATATAGGCATTGCAGATATCTCCTCTCACTCTGTGACCTCAGAGATATTTAGAACTCCGTACTTTCTTTACCAAGTGCATCCCTGGTGCACTTGATTTTCATTATTTAATTGTCCTTTGCGCAAGACAGTGAATGTCATAAGAGCAGGGCTAATGTGTCTTAGAACTCCAAGCCCAGGGCTTGGTGCAGAATACAGACACACATTTGTGGAATGGCAGCCTGAGCGAACCTCCCACTGGGATGATTTTCACAGCCAACGTCTTCCACACTTACTGATTCCCAGGCAACGGCTCTGGAAAGAGGAGACTGAGGCACCTGCCCACTCCCCGCCCCCTGCCTGAGGGTGGCAGCTCCTGAGTCTGTCCTTCCTCTGCCAGCGGGAAGTCTGCCCACCTGCACCTGCCCCGAGGGCTGCAAGGCCTCTCCTGGAGAAGCCAGGTTTTAATTAACTTCCCAGCAGTCACTGGGGAGGCTGGATCGTTTTCATAAACAAACGAGAGGCCAGAGCTTTGTCTGCAGCCCGGAGTGAGTCGTGTGGAAGGAATTCTAAACAAACCACCCAGCAGAGGTGGAACTCCAAACTCTAGGCTCTGGAGGGAGGTGGGGGTCTGGGATTGAGATGAGAAAGAAATGACCAACTGTTGTGTGGGGAGGAACCAAGGGTGTCTCCAAGGAGGAGGAGGTCATGGGCTGTGTGCTGTGCTCCCCCAAATTCACAAGTGGAAACGCTAACCCTCAGCAGGATGGTGTTAGGAGGTGGGCCTAGGAGAGGTGGTTCTGTCACGAGGGTGGAGCCCTTGTGGTGGGATTAGTGCCTTTCTGGAAAGGGTAAGAGAACAGCTCACTTCTCTGTTCTTTACCTCGGGAGGATGCGTCAGAAGGCAGCTTCTGCAAACCAGGAGGCAGGCCCTCACCAGAACCTATCTGCTGTGCCTACGCATGGCAAGGAGGCTTGTCCTGACTCATGCCAATCCCAGAGGGCTTCCCAGAGGAAGAGGCTTCTTATCTTAGGCATTTATTGCACACCTGCTTTGTGCAACCAGGTAAAAGATGACCAGAGAAGGCATAGCCGGAATTTGTAGGAATTTGTGTTCCAAGCAAGGTGGTCCAGCCTGTGTACTCATGGAAATGACGGTCACTTCTAGCCCCACGTGAACAGAAGAGATTTTAAGCATTACTGGTGTTTAGAGGAGAGGGTGGGGGAAGTTGGTAGAGACAGGGCTGGAACAATAAGGAGCTCTGTCCCCTCCCACTGCATGGCCTCATGCAGCCTCAGCTTCCCTGTCTGTAAAGTGGGGCAGCTGATGGGCCCTGAGCCCCAGGGGGTGTGAGGAGGAACTGAGAGAACCGGATGTGTGTCTGGTCCATGGTCCGACCTCGTGGGCACTCCTGCATGGAGACGATGGCGTCACAGGTGCTCTGGGGACTGACAGGTGGAGCCTCTGCAGCTGTAGATGGGGTGAAGAGCTCTGCCCAGGGCAGACGCACCAGCACCAGCTGTCCCCAGGCCCTCAATAAATTGTGTGGGAGATTATGGGGTTGATAACAGAGCAATTTCCTTCATACATTGCCCTTCTGGGAGCTAAGGAGGAGTTTCCCAGAGGCCCAGAGGGAAGGATTCACAGTCCAGATACCAAGGAGGTGACAGTGAGCGCTGTCACTGCGTCCCCACCCTGAAGTGAGGATTCGAAGAGGAGGTGACTCCGCCTGGTGCTGTGTGCCGATGGCTGATGGCTGGAGAGGTCCATGGTGAGAAGGGAGCACTGGGTGAAAGCTGTCTCTTCTGCCTGTGCCCTCCAGGCGAGCCTTCCTGAACCTGGTCCTTCATTGCCAGCTGGAGCCAGGCAGGTCCAGGCACCACCCCCAGACAAAGCGACTCAGCTCAGCAATGGCACAGGACCCCTCTTCACAGCTGGCAGATAGGCTTCAGATCAACAGCAGAGCACAGCTGACATCCACCCAGGCTCAGCTCCTCCCAGGGAGGCTCTGCCATCCACACCCACGTGGCCTGTTTCCCAGGCCACGATGACCCCTCACCTTTGCTGTCCCCCCCACCCCTCCACAGGCGGAGCTCGGCAAGCCTCGGGAGAGGAGCTATAGCCTGCCTGGCGTCAATTTCAATTACGGCCTCTACATCCGGGGGCTGGACGGAGGGGTCCCCGAAGGTGAGTGCCTGGGCGCACAGGGGTGGAGAGGGGACGGCGGGCCAGTGCTCTTCTGAAGTGCTCAGCCCTGGTAACTGCTGGGCAGGGACCAGGTGTTGTACAGCACAGCTCTGGTAGAGGCCACAAGTCTGAACAGCAGAGTGGTGACACCCAGGGCATGGCTGGGATGGAGGGTCCAAGGTGTGAGGGGTCGGGGAACAGGCATGGGCAGCCCCAGGAAGGGACTATCTGTGTTCTATGACCATCGGGCTGTGAAGACAGGACCAAGCCTCTGATGGCCCAAGGAAGGCCAAAGGCCAGGTGAGCCAGCTCCATGGAGGACACTCTGGGATCCTGGTCCCTCCCTTTCAGGCTGTCATGCTTTCCAGGGCCAGGCAGGGCTGTTGCCCAGCAGACTTGGGGTTAGGAGAGCCCCAGTTCTTCTCAGATGCCTCAGGGTGCATCACTCCACAACGGCCACCCCTGGTCCTGTCTCCCTGCCCCCAGCCATCGGACACTGGAACGTGTTTAGGCAGCAGCCCACCTGCCCCCAGGAGCTGACCCGTAACTACATCGCCATGAACTGTGGAGCTGTGAAAGCGGGCCTGGTGACAGCCCACGAGAACGTCCTGTACCGGAAACTCAACGACATTCGCATCAGTAACAAGGATGACAGGCGTCTCAGGAAGGAACCGCCCTCCATCCCCCGGAATATGACGTTTGGGATCCAGGCACGGTAAGGTGCCTGGCACTCAGCCCTTTGTGTCCCCATGGACAGGCAGAGGAGGGTGACAAAGGGGTGCTGGTGACTCAGGAGCAATGTCAGAGGGGAGGGACCAGGGGGAAGTAGAGCATCTTTCAGACATCAGTGGCCTCACCATGATTCCTGCTGGGCTGGCCCAGCCTTGCCGTATGCCGTACACAGCAGGACTGTGCACGTTTTCTGTCATTCAGTGAATATTGGTTCAGACCCTCATCTGCAGTCGGGGGTTAAGAACCCGAGGGAGGCGAAAGCCTGCCAGGTGTATTCCTGCCCAGCACTAACCTGGTGAGGCCACCAGATAGGCCCTGGAGCCGGGGCTCAAACCTGGACTCTGGCCAGAAGTGGCCGAGTTACCCTGGTCTCAGTTTGTCATCTGTAGCCTGGGATGAAAATAGGACCTGCTATATACCTTTGCTGAGAGGTTACCGTGACTCAGTGCCCTCAGAAATCTTTGCATGAGCCTGGGTCACCGTGAGCCCTCAGCTACTATGACAATTAAAATGGTGTAATGCAAACTGTAGACCCTAGAGCTCAGGCCACTTTTTAACAATTTCATCAAAGTTGAACTTGTACATGGTAAGATGCACAGATCACCAGGTATTCAGCTCAATGACATTTTCCAAATGGGAATACTCACCTAACAACCACTCAGATAAAACAGAGGACAGTTGTCACACCAGGAAGCTCTGCCCACACAATCACAGAGGTCAGACGAGACTGTGTGCATGCTCCAAGGGATCCACATTGTCACTGCCATCGATGCCGTGAGCTTGACAGCAAGGCTGTGACCAGCCTGCGGCTTAAATGGGCAAATTTGTGCCAGTGAAGGAATAGACAGGGGAAAGTTCTCGGGAAGCCATGAGTTCTTCCAGCCAGTGGGGGAGACAGCTCCCACCTGGACCTCCGCAGAACCCCGCCAACTGCATTCCAGGCTTCTAGAATTGGCCCTCCTAAGTTATTGCCTGAATTACCAGCTGAACACTCTCTCCCAGATTAAGTCCATTAAGTAGTAATGGCTCCACAGCGAGGACTTTCTTTCTGCTGCTTTGCACTGACTGGCATCGGTTCCCCTGTCTGTACACAGAACCCCAATTTCAACATTTTTCCTACCGTGGGCCCAAACTGATTTCACCCTGACTCTAAGGAGCGTGTGATCAGGCCTGGCCAGTCAGAGCATCAGATTTCCCTGCCCTCAGCAATTGGGTCAGGGGCAGGTGTGTGACCCAGGCCTTGCCAGTCAGGGCACTAGTCGATGTGGTTGGTCAGAAGCAGACATGTGACCCATGTCCCAATCCCAGCACGCATGGTATTCTATAAAAGTAGAATGTGGTTGCATATAATCAAAACTCAACTCAGAGTACCTTGACGTTTTTAGAGGGGAATTCAGTGACTCAGGTGATTGAAAAAGTCAGGGGCAGAGCTTCAGGTATGGCTGGATCCAGGAGGTTGAGTGATGTCATCAACGTTTTGTCGGTCTCTCTGTATCATGGCTGTGCTTCCTAGTTTGGGCTCTATTCTCTGACAAGCTTCTTCCTCACCTGGCAAAATGGCCAGTGTCTGTTCCATCCTATTCTCTTAGTGGCCCCAGCAGGAAAGGTTTGGGGACTCTAAAACATTTCAGATCAACATTTTTTTTTTTGGTCCAACGGGCCACATGCCCACCTCTGAGCCGAGCACTGTGAGGAGGGCTTGTGAAATGCACTGAGTGGCAGGCAGGGTCACTTGTGTGCCTCTGAGCCCATTGCTGAGGGCAGGGACTCATGCCCTGATTGGCCAGTCTCATCTCAGGCCCCTCCTGGAGTTCCCACAATCCACATGGGCTGATGGGGAAAAAGATGCTAAGATTCAGGATCTGCTCTGCAGGGAGCTCTGTCGTGAGCTGCCCATCCCAGCGCACAGGGTGGCCCGGCCTCTTCTACAGCACAGCGCACAGCGTCACCACAGAGTGCCCAGATCTGTGCCTGAACAGGAGAGGCTGCTCCCAGGCACCAGTCACTGGTGACGGTGACCCATGAGGCCAGTGTCGCAGCCTGGGTGTGTGGGAGTGTCCACTCTGCTGCCTTCATGGCCACTTCCTTCCCATCCCCAGCCTGTCTCCTGGCCTCCCTTCCTGCTGTCCCTGGACTTCCTTTGACATGTCACCATACTTTTTTATGTTCTTTTCCTTTCTTTTTTAGTGGTGGTTCCTTCTGTATTTTTTTATTTTATCTTTTCTCATTTGGTTACTGTGGTAAAATATGTGTAAAGATACATCTTTTTTTTTTTTTTTTTTGGTGAGACTGAGGTTTGAACTCAGGGCCTCACGATTGCTAAGCAGGTGCTCCAACACTTGAGCCTCCACTCCACCTGATGGGTGTTTTTAGAGATCAGGTCTGGAGAACTGTTTGCTGGGGCTGGCTTTGAACCCCCAATGCTCCTGACCTCTGCCTCCTGAGTAGCTGGGATTACAGGTGCAAGCCATGGTACCCGGCTCCATCATTTTTATTACTATGAATTAATTGTACAAAGCGACTTCATTGTGATATTTTCATAATGCATGTAAGCTCTCGCTTCAGCCGTTTTTATGTGCACAGTGCAGTGGGTGACTTGCTCCTTGTCACGCAGCCACCACACCCTCCATCTCCAGGACTCTTCACCCCGCTGAAGCTCTAGCTCCCTCTTCCCCCTTTCCCCAGTTCTCAGTACTGCTGTTCCTCCCACCTCCTGACCCTGGGGACTGCACTATTCTAGCTTTCTTGCGTAAATGGGAAGCTGCAGTATTTGCCCTTCTGGATGGGCTTCTTCCGTGTGTCATCATGTCTTCGAGGCTCGTCCATGTTGCAGCATGTATCAGAATCTCATTTCTTTTTCAGGCTGAGTAATATTTCCTCGGGTGTGTAGACCACATTCTGTGTACCCATCACCCATCAATGAACACTTGGGTCATTGTCACATTTTGGCTGTGTGAATTCTGCTGCTGTGAACATGGGGTGCAAATATCCGTTAAGTTTCTGCTTTCAATTCTTTGGGGTATACATCGAGAAGTGCAGTTTCTGGTTCATGTGGTTATTTTATATATATATATATATATATATATATATATATATATATTTTGTGTCGCACTAGGGTTTGAACTCAGGGCCTCCTGCTTGCAGGCAGGCGCTCCACTAGTTTAGCCATACCTCCAGCTCTTATGCTTTTAGTTTGTTTCTCAGATAGAATCTTGATAACTTTTACCAGGGTTGGCCTAAGACCTCAATCCTCCTACCTCCACTTCCCGGTAGCTGGGACTACAGGCATGCTCCAGCACACCCAGCCCTTCTACATGTAATATTTTGAGGACCGCCACACTGTTCTCCACGCCTGTGCCACCGTAGCTGTGTGTGCCTTCCTCTCTGCCTGTTCTCACCATCCTACCTGGAAAAAGCCTGGCATTCTCAAGTTCAAGTCTGCATCTTCTCTTTGGTAGCTCTGCCACCTCCCTGGCCTCCTGACCTCATGCGTTAGGCACGTCGCTCCCCGGAAATGCATTTCTGCTCACCAGCCACCAAAACCCGGACTGGATTAACTAATCGTGTGTACACCGCCCTTCCCCACGTCAGTGCCTCCCAGGTCTGTCCTGCATCGCCGCTGCCCAGCCCGGCTCCTCTCCCACAGCCACATAGCACAGGGGCCCTTCTCGCCTTGCCCCTGCAGACCCAGGCCAGAGCAGAGCCCAGCCTGCTTCACAGTGGATCACAAAGTTCATCCCGGCTGGACACCAAGTGTCCCAAAGACAGTGTGGTGTCAGGGGAAGAGCCTGGGCCAGGAATCTGCCTGAGGTGCCCGTTCTCTCTCTGTCCCCAAGTCTCTAGTGGAAGAGCTGGACAGAGTCTACCAGCTTGGCTGTACACCTGGCTCAGTTAACAACCTGCTGTGTGATCTTGGAAGCTCTGTTCACCTCTCTGAACTGCTTTCTACTTAGTCCTGTTTTAAATCAGGGCTTCCAGCTGGGCGCCAGTGGCTCACGCTATAATTCTAGCTACTCAGGAGGCAAAGTTCAGGAGGATCACAGTTCAAAGCCAGCCCAGGCAAATAGTTTGAGAGACACTATCCCAAAAAATACCCATCCAAAAAAAAAAAAAGGGCTGACGGAGTTGCTCAGGTGGTAGGGTGCCTGCTTAGCAAGTGTGAGGCCCAGAGTTCAAAACCCCAGTGCTGTCAAAAAGAAAGAAAGAAAAGCTTCCTTCCAATCGACCAATTGCTATGTCCTGAGTTCTGATGTCACTTTCCCCCAGGATCTCTGCATGCTCCTGTGTAAATGGGCGGGAGGTGACACACCAGTTACCCAGCAATCTGTGATTGTCCAAGAACGTCCTCACAGTTTTGCTAAAAACTTGTGAGTCACTGTCTTGAGAGGAGGGCAGTTACCGTCCACCTGACACTGGAAAGAGGTTCACTGACCTCCCAAAGTTCATACTTCTTCTCCGCAGTCCTGGATTCCGAACCTGGTCAGCTTCTGTTTCAAAGTGTCAAATAGGAGAACACACAGGACATCAGTGATCATTTAAAAATCCTTGATTTAAAACAGGAGAAAGTAGAAAGTCCAGAGAAGTGCAGAGAGCTTCCCAAGGCCACACAGCAGGGTGCTGGAGCCAGCCTGCAGCCAGGGGGCCCCTGCCCCTGGTCTTTCCTCTTTGTGCAGCAAGCAGCTGTGGTTTCTGGTCCCGGGGCTGCAGTTTTCCCGGCATCGTTGCAGTCAGCCGGGCTCGGTAAGGCCATGCATTTTTATCAGCTTCCGATATAAAACCTTAAATTGCTATAAAACGGAGTGGCCGCAATTCCGGGTGATGAAGTGTGGGCTGCATCTTCCGTGATGGTAAGTGGGTTTTGCATATGCAAATTGAATGGATTTTAAAATGATATTTAATGACAATTTTCGTAGCAGACATTAACATTAATTGGCCCAAAATGAAAATGCTGCATTAGGGTTGCTGTTAGCCGCAACTATGTCG